CCTGGCAACCCTAAACTGCTGCCAGGCCTAGGGTTTCCAACCTCTAAGTGGGGCCTGGAGCCCCCCCCCCCCAGAATTACAACTGAACTCAAGACAGCAGAGATCTGTCTCCCTGGAGAAAATGGCTGCTTTGGAGGGTGGACTCTGTGGCATTATACCCAGCTGAGGCCTCTCCCTTCCCCAAACCCAGCCCTCCTTACAGTCCACCTCAAAACCTCTAGGGATTCCCCAGGCTGGCACTGGCAGCCCTTGTCAGGCCTGGCCCCAAGGCTCCTTTCCCTCCCTCCCTCAGAGGCCAAAAGAAGCCAGGAAAGGGCCCTTCCCCCACCCTTTTACTGACAGCCAGTTGGAAGCCTCCCCCCCCCCGCCCTGAACGTTCTAATCTCTCTCTCACTGTTGATGCCTGGAGTTAGATCCCTGCAGAGGCCATTTCAAAAGGTATTGGGGGGGATTCAACCCTCCCTGAAGGGATTTTTTTACTTCTTGGATTTTTCTGCAGACACAGAAAGTATACTGACTATGTAGGAAAAGCTGTTGGGGGAGAGTGAGCTTCCTGTTAGTGGAAATAAGTACCCGCACAACATGCCCTCTGTTGGAATTAGATATATAGATAGTAATAATAAAGCTGCTGGATTATCTTGTTATCCAAGAAATCTGTTTCTCTTGCAATGGGGAAAAGCAATACAAACATACTAGTTTGGTTTAATTTCTGTATATAGTGCTCATGACTTTATATTTGCAACATTATAATACTTCTGCCATTGTAATTCTGCAATCTTAGGAAGCAGCATGGGAAGGATTTGGAGTTGCACTGAGCCAATGCAAAGTTATGAATGTAGATGGAAACTTTTTTGGTCCACGGAAATTCTCCATGGGATTAGAGCCCATATGTTGGACATAGTATTGTAATCTGTACATTTCCACAGATTCCATCAACTATGTCCTCAGTTATTTATTCTACCGAAGTATCCGTTCCCAGAATCTCTTGAAGCCCAGTTTCACAGTGAGAAACTTGCTCGAGTATCCTTTTTGAAGCTTGATGAGGGGCGGAGGGGGGGGATATGTGGCAAATGTTGCAATCTTTAGCAGTGTTTGAACCTTTTGATCTTACTTCATAGAAAACTGATTGTCATTTCTGTATTGGGGCTCTACCCGCTTAGATCACCATTCACCACCCCAAATCAGTCTTTAAATGTTTTAAAGTGCTTTAAGACTTTTGTTTTCTTGCTACAACAGATTGACATGGCTACCCCTGTGGATATACCATGCTGGTCCTTCAGCTAGAGTTCATATGTCATCTTTGTGCTTTCATTAGCCACACAGCTTAAATCACTGTTGCCTTGGAGGTTCTGGTGATGCCTATCTGTTTTGTTGGAAACCATCAACCTCCAAATAACTTTGTTGACTCATCAGTTTTCATTTATCAAATAACTATCTCAGAGGCGTGCCCCACCACCACAATGAAAGAAGTTTGCTGTGCTTAGGAACAAGAGTCCAAGTTAAAAACTATGCTGTTGGCTACATGTATATCACAGATTGTAAAAAAAAATGCTTGTCCCTTTTTTCTTTTTAAGGTATTTGTCTCCAAAATCTTGTACTCCTTCACCTTCAATGGTACTTTTCAACAAATTAGAGGAAGAAAGCAGTGGTTTTTCCCCTGAGGTAATCTATACTTATCTGTATTAATATATCACAGAGGTCCCCAGTGTAGTGCCTGTGGGTGCCATGGTGCCTGCTGATACCTTTCTTGGTGCCTGCAAAGTATGTTTAGAAAACAGTTGGGGCCAGGTGGGGCTTTTGCCCAGCTGGGCTTCTGATTGGTCGTTTAGATTTTTAAAAACACGGCTTTGGCAGCGGCTATCACCGCAGCACAATTATCTTCACTTATGTGACTGAAGGTAAGCAGTGGCTGTCATTCTGTGGTTGGCTCTGTCTTCTGCAGCAACTGTTTTGTGATTGCACCCACTATGTCGTGTCAGAATTCCAGCAATGCCCAAAGGCTCAAATAGGTTGGGGAATCCCTGCTATATCATATAAAATATTAGTAGTTTTGTATCCTTATGTTTATTTAGCATGACGGTGATTCTTTCCAAAACTCTGCATTTTAATTTTGAATTCAAGTTGTTGTGAATGTCTGCTTAATTTTCCACATAGTTACATAGTCCATACACCAACAGGAATTCCAATGCTTATTTTATACCTAAAAAAATGAGTGCACAGAGAATCTGATAGGGAAGAATAATGTATACTTTGTCTAAAATTTCAGGAAATCAGCAGTGCTAAAAACAGTTTTATATGTGGAGAAGAAGGGAGAGAAGATGAGATGCCCACACTGATTCCACAAATATCAATCAAGGACAGAGATAACAAAGATGATTTTTTAGAACCATTAAAGCCACAATTAAATATGTATACTAAAGATGAAACTACTACGCTCAGCTTGGATCTTACTTACCTTTCTACTTACCAAGGAAATGAACTTGCCAATGAACTTTCCCATGTTGCATGCAGGGATGACACTGAGCTAGTGAGTCCTTTTTCAAATAGAGAGCCAGCTGTTTCTAACTTTGAAAATAACAAGTTTGTAAGAAATATGCACTTGACAAAACCTGCAAAAGATGGCACTCTTCAGAAAACACTAATTTCTGTGATATCTGGTAACCAGCAGAACAGCAGCAGTGCAGACTGCAGCTTAGTGATGGAAAACAGTCCAGTTGGAAATATAAACCCTAGTGGATCTCTGATAGAAATCTCTTTAGCAAAGAGAAAATGTCAAGAATCATCCCCTGAAGCAGCAGTCAATTCACACTTGAAGGATAAAAGGAGAAGAACTTTCTGTCATACTGCTGAAGAGGAGGAAGAAGAGATGAATGAGATACAACAGCAGACGAGTTTGGAGCAGAAATTTTATGAAAGGTTTAAGCAAGAACAGGAGGATAGACTTCTGGCTCTGAAGCTTCAGAAGGAAATGGACAAAGAAGAGAAGACTCCAAATCGCAAAAAAGGCTCTCCAGATGAGTACCATTTGCGCCCTAAAACATCTCAGTCAGGATCTGCATCTCCAGTTTCTTGCAAGCTATTGCAGAACTCACAGCCTCCAAACAAGAAGACTGAAGCAGATCAACGCAAACATCGTAGAAGCTCCCCAAATGAGAACAGTAAGCTTTCTAATAAACGCCAACCAAAGTCACCTGGTATAAAAGGAGGAAAAGTTTTGAACTGTGTACTCAACAGTTCAGACTCAAAGGAGGCAGAACTGCTGCCAAACAAGCAAAAAACTATCCTTCAGATGTTTAAGAGGTCTGCTGCAAAGTAGAGGACATATGAAGACTCTGTGGCATTGATGGGAATGAATTCTCTGTTTAAAATCTAACTGGATTAAGCAATTGTGGAGGGATTAAGCACTTTCAGAACTAACACTCATTGGCTCGGAACAAACTGTACCTGGGTTTTATTCCTATTTGCTTTTACTGCCTTTTGTGTTATCAGAGTACTTTAACTCACAAGTGTGGTAACAGGTTATTTGGACTGTCAGGAGACCAGGGTATGTATTACCTCATGGTAAACTGTTTTATGTTAGAATAAATTGCCAAAGCAACTTCTGATTCTCTCTTCTCCTCATTCTCCATGCACAAGAGTAGTAAGTAAATAAGTGGAAAAGGTTAAATTGGACTGAAAGATTATACTTGGAGGTAGTACACCTGTGCCCCTGCTCTTGTTGATTAGTTTCCACCTTCATGTTCACAAGCAGTTTAATAAGTGGATATCTTCACACCTTCCCTAATGAATAGATGCCATTAACATAATGCATTAAAATAGATTTGAAATTTTGTGAGAAAATCCTCTGTAAATAGATTTTTGTGTGATTCTGTCAAAAAATTAAACCATTGCTACATTTTGAAGTAATGTATGGTAGACAAGCCAGCAGAAAGACACAGCATAAATGTTTGAATTTTGTTTCTTAGCACAATGCTGAGAGCGTTGTATCTATAATGTTATCGTCACACATAACCAAGTAATCCAGTCTTTTAGTACTTCTACTTCTGGTGCACTGGTCCTTTTACACAGACCATGACTAAAAATTCCATTGTAGAAAGATGCATAGCACAAACTTTGCACATTGAACAATGCATGTAATATGTCTGTGGTATGTCATCTGAATCCTGTAGACCAACTTCTTTGTCTCGGTATCTCTTTCCCGCACTTCGAGCATAATATAATTTCCGCCCTAAATGTTAAGAGACCCAGCTGTGGACGTCTTAGTTTGCTGGTAAGAAACAAGTACCCAGACATTTAACCCAGACAAAGCAAACACTCTTATAATCAGTTGCAGTGGTCTCTGTTTTTATCATTCATTTTTCTCCAGAAAGACATATTTTTACCATGTTATTCTGCCTACTTATGTCTTCACTTAAACCCAAGTTCTTGGAATTCTATTTCAACTGTATTGACTCTGGAACTGTTTGTTATTAATGGTCCAGTGATTTTTAAACCTTATTTTTGTAGCTTGCTGCTGGCAAGGAAACAGCACAAAGAAAGGCTACAAGGTTTTATTATTCTGTCCTTTTTACAGCCTGTGCTTTGCTTTCTCTTACATCTTTTCTCTTCCCGCTGTAGTTTTTTTCAGTATTAGAAGGGTCTAGTCAGCTCTACAACAGACCCCGTAACAGGACAAACTTCTGAACACCATCTTAAAATCTTTAATTAAAAAAAAAAATTGCTGAACCAATAACCATTTAAAAATATCCAATAAAGACTTGAGTATGTTGCAGTGTGTACTACAAAGCTGATGGTGGTTGGGGTTTAAGACTTGCACAGATGAACTTGACCTGTAGTTCTAGTGCTGAAAGATGCTTATGGATGAGTTATTTCCGATTCATGTTGAGTTTGTTCTAATTGTTTAATGCAAGTAAACATAAGTGGAGATCAATGTTCCCTCTAAGCTGTAGAGTCCTGTGAGCAAAAATTCTACTTTGTGAGCTACCGGCATTAAAGTTGTGAGCAGGCGATTTGGCTCCTGCATAAATCAGTTTGCTCTGGAGCCCTCCTTCCTGAGCGAAGACAAAAATGTGTGAGCCGGAGGCTAAGAAACTGTGAGCTGGCTCACACGAACTCAGCTTAGAGGGAACACTGCTAATGCTCCCTGTAAGCTGTTGAGTCTTGTGAGCAAAAATTCTACTTTGTGAGCTGCTGGCATTCAAGTTGTGAGCAGGCGATTTGGCCACTGCATAAATCACTTTGCTCTGGAGCCCTCCTTCCTGAGCTAAGACAAGAATGTGTGAGCCGGAGGCAACGAAACTGTGAGCTAGCTCACACTAACTCAGCTTAGAGGGAACACTGCCTGTGAGCAATACTCCCTGTAAGCTGTGCAGTCTTGTTAGCAAACATTCTACTTTGTGAGCTACTGGCATTAAAGTTGTGAGCCAGCGATTGGGCTGCTGCAAAACCTAGTTGGCTCTGGAGCCCTTCCTGACCTAAGACAAAAATGTGTGAGCTGGAGGCTACAAAACTGTGAGCTACCTCACACTAACTCAGCTTAGAGGGAACACTGCCTGTGAGCAATGCTCCCTATAAGCTGTGGGATCTTGTGAGCAAAAATTCTACTTTGTGAGCTCCTGGCATTAAAGTCGTGAGTGAGCGATTTGGCTCCTGCATAAATCGGTTTGCTCTGGAGCTGTCCTTCCTGAGCTAAGACAAGAATGTGTGAGCTGGAGGCTAAAAAACTGTGAGCTAGCTCACACTAACTCAGCTTAGAGGGAACACTGCCTGTGAGCAATGCTCCCTGTAAGCTGTGGAGTCTTGTGAGCAAAAAGTCTACTTTGGGAGCTGCTGGCATTAAAGTTGTGAGCGAGCGACTGGGCTCCTGCATAAGTTAGTTTGTTCTGGAGCCGTCCTTCCTGAGCGAAGACAAAAAATGTGTGAGCTGGAGGCTGAAAAACTGTGAGCTAGCTCACGCTAACTCAGCTTAGAGGGAACACTGGTGGAGATATATTTAAACTGTATAGTTGTTAAGTGCAAGAACACGCTGAATGCCAAATACCTCAAACTGTACAGGCTTTGTGGTGCATACTTACCCGAGACAAGGTTGTCTGTATGTTGTTGAAAGAATAATGAGGTAACCAGCAGCCACTCTTATAGCTCTCCCTAAAATATGTGCTCATCATACTTTAGTAGTGACTGCTGAGAGGAAATGCCAGAACTGTTGTAAACACTAGAGCTGTACTTATTGGCCTGCTCCTTGGGAGGAAAGCGATGGCGAACCTAAACAGCATGATAAAAAGCAGAGACATCACCCTGCCAACAAAAGTCCGCATGGTCAAAGCAATGGTATTCCCAGTAGTCATGTGTGGCTGCGAGAGTTGGACTATAAGGAAGGCCGAGCGCCGAAGAATAGATTCTTTTGAACTATAGTGCTGGAGAAGACTCTTGAGAGTCCCTTGGACTGCAAGAAGATCAAATCAGTCAATCCTAAAAGAAATCAACCCTGACTGTTCCCTGGAAGGCCAGATAATGAAACTGAAGCTCAAATACTTTGGCCACCAAATGAGAAGGGAGCACTCACTAGAGAAGACCCTGATGCTGGGAAAGATTGAAGGTCAAAGAAGACGGGGACGGCAAAGGATGAGATGGTTGGACAGTGTCATCGACGCAACGAACATGAAATTGAGCCAACTTCAGAGGACAGCGGAAGACAGGAGGGCCTGGCGGGAGCTGGTCCATGGGGTCGCGAAGAGTCGGACTCGACTGTGCGACTGAACAACAACTTATTGGTCTCCTTCAGATTTCTTTCAACAAACAATTTTATTTAATTATATGCTGTTTGTCTCCCCAAAGGTGACCCAAAGTAGGTTACAGCTTCTCTTCTCCATTTTATTCTGACAACAACCCTCTGAGGTAGGTTTATTTAAAATACTTACACACTGCCTTTCCTTTGTGTCTCAAAGCTGAGAGAGACTGACTCATCTAAAGTAATACAAGATGCTTCCATGGCAGAACGGGGATTCAAACCCAGGTCTCTCAGATTTTAGTCCAGCACTAACCACTATACTAAGCTTGCTCTTACCTCCATCACCACTAATGGTGTTTAGTTGGAGTGAAATTCTGCGCTATTCTTGACTAGAAACTCTTCTATAATTCTGATTACTATATTGTACTTCCATATAATCCATTATTGATTGCGGGAAGGGCAGGATATAAATTGAAATAATAAAATTACCAAGTAGGGTTTATAAATTTCTTTCCAGACAATTTGGCAGGCACTGCATTTGTGTAGCAGCAGCAACTTTAACTACTAAAGCCTTTGTATTTATCCCATTTGTATTTCCATTCTCCAGCCATTACACATATCTGCCATAACTTCTTGTATCTTCTAGGATAACTGAGAGAGGTTTGTGGTTACCCTCAGTTACCCCTATGATGTTTTAAAATTCCCTTTACAATTTTCTGTTCACTTGGGTCTGTGGATTTGTTCCATTTCAATTCCTAAAGGGCTAGAATAAGATTTTAAAGATTTATATGGAGTCTGACAGTTTTCTAGGTCATATTTTGATAATAAATAAAACCTTCAGACAATTTAAACTAACACATGGTTACTTTCAAGGATTAATTTTTGACACTTCAATATTCAGTTATTGACAACTCACAAGTGGGGATAGGTTGTGTCAAAATTGTGGAGATATAATTTTAATTTTGTTAACATACTGGTGGAATACCCAGATGCTACCAGAATGATGTAGCCATTGCATATAACTGAAGTTGAGTGTGTGCTAAGTCTTTGTGCCATTCATATGAGAAAGGCAGGCATGCATTTCAAGAAGCAAAGAATATGTGTTTGTTGAGAGACAGAGGAGCCAGAAAAAGCAGCACCTCAAATGTAATCAGCTTGGGTAAAGGAAGCACTGTTTTAAGTGGAATGGAAGGAAAAAGCCATACCATTCTGGGCCATTCCTTGGCTCCCCTGAACCGCACCGTCATTTTGCAACAAAGCAAAACCAAGTCCCAGTGGTACCTTAAAGACTAACAATATTTATTCCAGGGGGATTTCCAGTGAGCACTGAGACAGAGGCTCAGAGCTCCAGAGAGCCTGACTTCGGTCTCACCATAGCTTATAATGGAATAAATGTTTGTGTTCAAGGTGCCACTGGACTTCTGTTTATTTTGCTTTGCCACAGTACAGTAACACGGCTACCTCGCAGTCCTTTCGTAGCTTCGGAAGCCTCAATATATTCTCTAGTGTCCGCACATGTTGGTAATGCGTTTCCAACCCCGTGCTTGTCTGTCTAATGGATTTCAGTGGGCATGCATCTGTATATATTGCATCGTGCGTATCTTTCACCGGCTTCGTGCGATGTTTCAAAGTAAGTGTGACTATACGGTCGTAACGAGACCAGCCTGAGAGCTCTGCTCGGTCCTCCCCAATACGTTGTTTCGATTTCGCGGCCCCAAGCGTTGACTGGAAGCGTCTCCTATTAGCGTCTTCATTTCTATAATGTACGTCTCGGTAGCGGCTCCGATTACCGGGAGCAGCCGCTACTGGTCCCCAGAATTTCTTTCCCAGCTAGGTTCCTTCCGCCGCTTCCGGCTGTCCACGTTTTAATGCAAAAGCTCCACCTGCCTCTAGGGGGCCTCAGTCAGAAAAGCAGATCCTTCTCTGTCTCTTTCGCCGGATTCCAATAAAGCTTGATATTGAAATTGAAGGCGAGCAAAAGGAAATTGGGATGCGGTAGCTCTGCGCCTGCGCAGTGGAGCCGGCAGGTGGCGGGTGTTGTTCGGTGGTGGTGGCGGCAAGATGGCGGCGCCCGGGGGCTCCGCCGCCTCTTCGGCGCTGAAGGGGTTAATCCAGCAATTCATCGCCATCACGGGTGAGGCGCGCGAAAGCCCGGAATAAACCCGGAGGAGCTGAGGCTGCTTCAGTCGCGGGGTGGAATGAAAACCTAGTGGGAGATCGGGAAGAGAGGAGAGGGAGTTGGTGGGAGGCAGAAGGGAGAACTCCAGCAGCAGGGGGGGGGGGGGGGGGAGGGGCGCAGATTAGGAGGTGCTGTAGAGAGCCGACGTAGAAGGAATGGAGTCCAAGGCAGCGACTGCTGGACACCTTGTCAAGGGACGTCTGCTGGCCAAGGAGGAGTTCAGGGGAAGTTCCTTTGTGGCGGATGGAGAAGAATGGGGTGGGGACGCCTATGTGTTGGGCAGAGAACGAACTGAAGGGACTGCAGTGTGAGACTCTCCAGAAGGGCCTTCATTGTTGCCTCTGGTAGATTGATGTAGATCAGTCACTGGAGACGGCCATCTGTTTCCTTCCCCGAACTCTGCGTAAGGGGGGGGGGGCATAACCGCCCTCGTGTTTGCAAACGAAACGTAGGTTAACTTTTGAAATTACTACCATGTAGATCAGCAGTTCATTTTTTAATAGGCCGGATAGCTGTTATTAGTGTGAGCTGTACTTAGGGTTGCCAACTCAGTGCTGGGGAATTCCTGGAGGGAAAAACCGCCTGAATTATTATACGGTATTATGTATAGTATAGCCAGATCTTAAGATTGTCTGGCAACCTGAAGTTCTAGCTCTTTTTTGTGGCAAGCTAGTCTTATTTGGGGGGCTGGTTTCATGTGGAGGAGTGTGGAATCGAACCTGGCTCTTAACCACTATACCACCTACACCATGCTGGCTCCTATTCCTGGATATTTAGGGGTGGAGCCAGGGGATGGTGTAGTTTGGGGAGGGGAGAGGCCTCAGCAGGGTGTAATGCCACACAGCCCACCCCTCCAAAGTAACCATTTTATCCAGGGGAGCTAATCGCTATGATTTTGAAATCTCCAGGCTGTACCTGGAGGTTGGCAACCCTAGGTACTGTTTTGAAAAGCAGCTGGTAATGGGGACCTGGTTTACCTTGCAAGCATGTTACCATGGTGTAGTCTGTGCTGTGTATGTATATACCCATGTGCTGGGCCCAGATAAATAATGGTTGGGCTCTTCCTCAATAAATTTGTAAAACTGGGGCTTTCGGTCGACGGAATAGCAATAGCGAACGCTCTCCTCACAACGGAGGAGGGCGAATCGCACACCAGTGGCCTGGAGGGGTGCCACCTCAAGTGACACCCCCGCGGAGCCTTTGCGATAGGCTCCAGGCAAGGGGGCTTTTGAGGGGTATCCTCTTCAATGGCGTAATGCCGGAGAATTGAGGCTCCCCTCCGCCCCGATGGTTCAGTCGCTGAGTGGCCTTTGGGCATAAGCTGGACTGACCGAGACAAGCGCTGGAGATCGAGCGGAATGGCGTAAAACCGAGCGTGGTCAGATAAACTGGCCAACAATGAACGTGAGTTCTGAATAAAAACGGACTGGTTTGAAAAGCGATCCCCCCCCACACGATTGGAAAAAGAGATTGCAAAGAGGGACTCTTTTGCGAATGAATGGTTAAGACACAAAGGGGGGAGAGGGGAGGAAGTAAACCGAAAGTGTTTTGAGAGACTTATCTGAATTGTGAAGTCATTTGGCGAGTTTTCCAAGTTGCGGGGAAGCAGCAGAAACTGTAAACAAAACAGGAAATATGGAGGCCCAGCAGAGATAGTTTAAAACGAAGCCGGGCGGGCAGAGTCCAAGACCGGAAGAGGGAGCAGATGTCCTCAAACTCCTGGTGGATATGTTCAAGCCGGTGATGGAACAACTCAATGGTATTAACCAGCAAATGACTGTGATGAATAAAAACTTTGTGGCACAGCAGCTTCAGCTGAATGAGACGGAGAAAAAAGTGGAGCAGGCAAACGAGAAAATTAAAGAGATTGACACCACAAGTAAGAAGTTGAAGAAAAGGATGGGAGAGGTAGAAATGAAGCAGAATTGCCAAGAGAATCGAGTCTTGCAGCTTCAGATGGAAAAAGCTAACATGATTCTCAGGTTTCAGGGGGTTCCTGAAATGGATCGGGAAGACTTGAAGAGGGTGCTCAGTGAGATCATCGCTCCAGTAGTAGGCTTAACAGCGGATGAACTGGTAAACAAAATGGAGACAGCCTATAGGGCTTACTCCAACTATATTAAAAAAAATAGCCTACCGGGAGAAATAGTGGTCAAGTTTTCAAGAAGACAAACCAGAGATGCCATTTTAAAAGCAACATCAGCAAGTCCACTGAAAATGGGAAATGTAACCATTAAAACTTTAAAGGGCATTCCATTTGAAATTAGACAAAAGAGGAAAAATTACAAGGAATTAATTTATTTTCTTCAAACTAACGGAATATCGTATAGATGGGCGGTTCCGGAAGGTGTCATCTTTAAGATCAACGATAGAAAATAGACTCCACTTTTAAAGCTAAATAATTTTTGAAACGTCAGCTGGGGACAGATGAGGAGTCTAAAGAGGGAGAATCGAAGTCGAGTGACTCTGCTATCTTGGGAACGGAAGAGGATTCTGCGGCAGAAAAGGGTGCAGGACCTGCCAGAGTGGTATACGATTTTAGAGACAGAAAGCCAAAGTAAAGGCAGAAGGACTTGGAAAATGGCCTTTTGAAGCAAAGAAGAAGAAGATGATCAGAGACTTCTCTCATAACTAACAAAATAACATACAAGAAGCAAATTGTTATAAGCAAGAACTCAACAAATATATTGTGATAATAAAACTAATGGTACTAACATATTTACTAACAGTGGAAAGATCTCCTCTCTTGGAGATAAATAAATAAATAGTCTAGTGTGGTTTGCTTTTCTTTATCCCTAGTTGTAGTCCCTCCCCTATATTTCTTTGTAGTTTGTAATATACACAAAATAAAAAATAACCCTACGGGGATTTTAAAAAAATAAATAAATTTGTAAAACCTTTTAAAAGCTAATAAGGCTTCGCGGCCGAGGGGGGGATCCGCACAAGCGGAGACCCGGACGAGCCCCAGAAGGGGCTCCGACTCGGGGCGCGCGAGGGGCAAAGCCTTTTTCTCGACCGGAAGGTCGGAAATTGAGGCTCCCCTCATGCCCTAATGAACCTCGCCACGTTCGCGGCCCCGCACGGTGCTTAGCGGAGCCGCCAGACGCCACCTGAGTGATGAAGCGAAAAATCGATGAACTGAAAAGGAGCGGCTGAAACTGTGAGTTGTCAATCGAGATAATGAAAAGAAGCTAA